ACGTTGGCCAAGCCGCCCGCTGAGGGCTCCTCGGGCCCGGGTTGCCTCTCTCTCTCTCTCTCTTTCCTCCCGAGGCGAGCATGTGGTTCTTCTCCCGGGACCCGATCCGCGACTTCTCCTTCGAGCCGGTGACGCCGCCGGAGCCGCCGCGGCTGCTGCAACTGGGGGGAGTCTGGCAGCTGCACCGCGGGAGGAGGAAGGTCCGCCTCTCGTCTCGCTCTCCCTTTAATAGAGCCAAGCTGCTCTTTCTGGCCCTTTGAGCGCAGGCGCGCGGGGGGCTCAGGCCGACGTTCGCCCGGTGGAGAGGGGCTCGCCGCCGCCGGGGAGGGGGGGCGGGAGGAGGAAGGTCCGCGCTCTCTCGCTCTCCCTTTAATAGAGCCAAGCTGCTCTTTCTGGCCCTTTGAGCGCAGGCGCGCGGGGGGCTCAGGCCGACGTTCGCCCGGTGGAGAGGGGCTCGCCGCCGCCGGGGGGTGGAGGGGAGGACGAAATGTCGGGAATGGGGGTGGTGGTGGTGGATGTTGCTTCTGCCAAGGGCCAGCTGGAGACGCCCCCCCCTTCCGCTTCTTAACTTGTTCTCCCTTGCATTCAGGCGGTGTAATGTTGGGGGCACCCCCCCCCAAAATGGGATGGGACATTGGTGTAGTAGGTGTTCCTTGTATTATGTGCTTCCCTTCTGGTGAAACAGGGGAGTTGAGGTTGGTTGGAAAGAACACCCCCCCCTTTTTTTTTTGGTTCCCTGCCCTTTCTTTGATGGGTAAGAAAGAGGTTTCCTCAGCCACAAAATGCCTGTCAGAGATGCTGGAGAGGCCAGGCCAAACCTTTGCCATTACCAGGCCGTTCACGCACTAGGGCAAGGGATGGCAAACCTTTTTGAGCCCGAGTGCCCAAACTGCAACACAAAATCAACGTATTTATTTCAAAGTGCCAACGCTGCAATTAAACCTGAATACTGAGGTTTTAGTTTAGGGGAAAAAAACACACAACTGCCCTTGCACTACAAGGGTTAAATGCTTGTTCCCCCCCCAGGGGCAATATTAACAGAGAAATACTTACCAGTCCCCCATGGGGCTAGACCAGTAATGGCCACTGTTGCTCCCCTCTGCTGGACCACTGCACCAGTAGAGGGAAGTGCCGAAACCCAGGATCGGAGGATGGGTAAGTATTTCTTGATGGCAGCTTATGGCTTGTGTGCCCATACAGAGGGCCCTGCGTGCCAGCTGTGGCATGCGTGCCATAGGTTCGCCATCATTGTACTTAGGGGGATCTCCGGACAGTCTCTGGCAAAGGTTGGAAATGTTCATGTATAGGAGGACTGTGACTCAGAATCTTTCACCCAACTGGATGGTGGAATCTGGGCATTCTAGTCTAGAACGTAGAATGTGAAACCTGCATTCACACATACAACAACATTTCACATCTCTGGTCTTTCCCTACACACTTTGTCTCTCTCATGTTAATCTATGTCATAGGATGGTTCGTGGTTTTGGAAAGCTCCCTCCCCTTTCATAGTTTGTTTTAAGGGAAGGGACTCATATGGGAGCAGCGTGCTTGCTTTGTATCCAAAGTTTAGTCCACAACAGCTCCAGTTTGTTTCGCCTTTAAAGACCAGGTACCAAGTAACTGAAAAACATGTTTTTCAGCTTGAAACTCTGGAAAGCTGCTTCCGGTCCGAATAGACAGGGCAGAAATGAACTAGTAAATGATCTGACTTTGTCCAAGGCGATGCCATCACGTCATTTCACCCCAAAGAAAAGGCCATACAGTTAGCCTGTCTGTTTTGGGCTCACTTTCTAGCCACCAGCTGAGCACCCACCCACGTCCATTAGCAGTGTCTGTTCTTCTTCCATGACCGACGTATGTTCGGTGTTTTCTGCAGGCCACAGGGGAGCAAGTGTCATTGTTTGTGCATGATGTGAAACCCAATTCCGAAGAACAGACGCAGCTTGCCAAGGCAGCTTTCAAATACCTGAAGACGCTACGACACCCCAATATTCTGTCCTACATTGACGGACTAGAGGTAGTATATGGGAAAGTTGTCTGTTTCTTCTGTGGATGGAGGGTGTGTGTTTTGGTGCAGAGACGAACGGCAGTGTATGTTTGAAAAGAGCATGGAAATCCCTGGGCTTTGATATCCAGATGTTCAGAATTATTTGTTTTTTATATAAAAATGTTTAATTCATTCTGTACTGGCCGAACATCTCACTGAATTGAAGTAGCTGGGCCATGAGTTTGGTTCTGCACTTCTTCTGTGGATGGAGGGTGTGTGTTTTGGTGCAGAGACGAACGGCAGTGTATGTTTGAAAAGAGCATGGAAATCCCTGGGCTTTGATATCCAGATGTTCAGAATTATTTGTTTTTTATATAAAAATGTTTAATTCATTCTGTACTGGCCGAACATCTCACTGAATTGAAGTAGCTGGGCCATGAGTTCAGTTCTGCACTTTGCCTTCCAGGGGAAGAGCCAGCTTGTGTGGCCTTGAGCCAGCTGCACACTCCCAGAGCACCTTCAGAAGAAGGGGACAGTTGAGCCATTTCTGAATACAGTACTGTCTGCCTAGAAAACCCTGGAAAGGGCCACCATGAATTGGAATTGAATTGATGGCATACAGTTATTTATTATTATTTTGTCCAAGATTGTGGAGCGTGCATAGTGAATTAGGAACAAGATATCAAAATGCCTTAAATCCCTTAAAAAATAAAATGAAGCACATTGGTGCATATTGAAAAAAAATCAGAATATGGTGCTTCTTGGGTCCATGTTGTAGATGTGCTTGATGTCCTGTGTGCCTTCAGAAGCTTCAAAGCACACATTTCCCCCTTTTCCTCCCACCACCCCCATGGTGTTGCCATTCAGGGCTGATGAACTGTATTAGACTTCTAAGAATCAAAACTGAGACCTCAGCATGGTTGCATCAACAAGGGAGAGAAATATCAGATCATATTTTTTTTAAGATTCCAGAAACTGGGATGAGAATCTCTTACTGTAAGGCAGCTTCCTATGTTCTAGTTGAAATTAGCCTTTTATCCACTGTGATGAGGACTGGACTCCTGTCTTACTTTTAAGGAGAAGGTTGTCGTTCAGTGGCTTGGCCCCTTTTGCATATTAGAGGATTCTAGTACCCTAAAGTCGGGCTGGCAGGTACCTCATCTGAGACCCTCGAAAGCTGCTTCTAGTTGGTGTTGATAAGACAGAGGGATGGATGAAAAAGTATGGATCAAGATACTTTCCCTTCCTTTGCTTAAACAGAGCCTGTCCTTCAGCATGATGAGGACTTTATTTTTGGAGAGGACACCTTCATGCAGAGAGTCCTGGGTTCAATCTATAGTTTCTTCACATATGGTTGGGAGAGATGCTTAAGAGCTGCTGTGTGGACAATTCTGAGTGAGAGGGACCAAGAGTAAAGTCAAGGCAGTCTGTTTTGTCCTTCATGTTTTCTGTTTTTCTCTGGCAGACAGAAAAATGTTTGCATGTGGTCACGGACCCTGTGATGCCTCTGTCGGCCTACCTGGAATCCAGGGACAATGGGAAGACCCTGAGCGAGCTGGAAATCTCATGGGGACTTCATCAGATTGTGGTGAGAATAAGGGTTCATGGCACATTGCTGACAACAGACCCTGCACCCCCGTTCCTTGGATTTTAGGAGCTGGCGCCTGAGGGGATGTTTGAGGAGGGATGGAAGAGCCCTATCCAAATCTGACTGTTCCTATCTGCTTCCTTTGACCCGGCCTTTACTAGAAAGCCCTCAGCTTCCTGGTGAATGACTGTCACCTCATCCACAACAACGTGTGTACGTCTGCCATCTTCATTGATCGCGCTGGCGAGTGGAAACTAGGAGGTTTGGATTACACGTGCTCGGCTCAGGGGGACGTCGCTGTGACACGGAAGGGGGTCCCCGAATTGGAAAAGTATGACCCTCCCGAGTGGCTAGACAGTAGCAAAAGCACGGGAGAGAAATGGTGAGTCTTTTTCTCCTTCATTTTCAAAGACTAATCAGGGCTTCTCATATTGGGCATAGTAGTGGGCTCTTTAAAGTTCCTATAAGCTGAGAGAGCTGGGGTGGGCAGCCTCTCCCCAGGGAATATGCCACAGCACTGTTGCAAAAGGTGCCACGTTTCCTTTAAACAAGGTGTGTGCTTTCTGCGTGTCTTATCTACATACTTCCGGAAAGCTTCCGGGAATGTGGTTCTACTTGTAAATAAAGTACAGAGGGTATGAATGCCTTGCTTGAAAGAAAAAAGTAGCACTTCTTTGCTATGGTAGCAAGCGTGATGATGGGGGCAGTAAGGGACCTGGCAGAGAGATGGAATATGACCTGTAGGCCACATAGCTTGCAGGTTGCATACGACCTGCAGGCAACATGTTTTCTCCAGCTGTGCTAGAAGCATTGTCAAAGGAGGTTTTGCAGAGCGCAGGCCAGTTTGCCATGATGAAAGGTGGGGTTG